TAAGAACGACCTCTGCTGTTCTCTGGTTAGTGCAGAGGACAGCAGACAATTCCATTCACTTTCCTAACGTAGGTAAAGAACGCTTTACTCCAGACTCGTGTGAGTTGCTTGGCCACATGGAGGCTAGACAGGTGAGAGCAGCTGACCCAGTGATGAGTCGTGCCTTTGGTGGCCGCTGCAAGCTGATCCGGCTCCGTCCCTGCGTCTACGGATACACTTACACATCTGTTCTCGTCGACAGATTTAGAGCCGGTGACGGCGACGCAAGACGCAGTCATTGACACATCTCCTAACATGGTGTGGTTGAGCCCAACGATGACCTGATTAGACGGGCATGGTTGAGAGGGACTGTTCTCACTGCCGACACTGACAGAGGCGGCGCTGTCCACGCTCGTCAGTAAGGAACTGTTGAAGGAGGAGCAGAGGATGTGTGTGACGGTGGTGGTGTCACTGGTGAGTGCCAGAGCCACCATGGCCGCATATCCCTGGTTGATGCAAGTGGGCGCCGAGTCCGATGCTACTACCACCAACGATCCCCAAGACGTATTCTGGAGTGGACAACAGTTTATTGAGTCAACTCCAAAATTGAAATTTAAGCTGTACATGGCGTATCCTGTAGCACACACGGCCCAGCGGGCCCAGGAGCTGGTGTCCATGTCACTGATCACTGGCCGATTGGTACTGACCACAGACATTGTCTGGCACGAGCCATTTGAGAACCAGCCTGACCTAACCCCGATACATATCAGATTCAATGTAAAAAATCCGTATTTTATTTGTATGGGGAGCTTATCGTGCCCACAGGCGTTCCACTCTATGTATGTCCAGTTCAAGGGTCCCATGTTTACCTCCACCAGACTGCATATGACATGATTCAAAGTGTTCTTGGTCCCCTCGAAACCCAGTCCTGTGATCACTTGGTCGGCTGGACACTTTACCCACCAGATGTTGTCAGAGGCGCCAAGTGTGGTAGTGACGGCAGTGAAGGTGGAGGCAGGAGTGTGGGTTGTGGCAGTGAAGTCAAATACCGGCCCAGTAGTTCCTGCAGCAACCCAACTAAGACTTGTGGACTGCCCTGAGGTCGCTGGAGATGGAGATTTTGTGACGAGGGCTGAGGCTTGGCGTGTGGTAAGAGGTGAGGCTGGGGTTGTGCTAACAGCTGTCGCCTGGGGTGTGGCCTGGGTTGAGACCTGGGGTGTTGGACGTCTATAAGGTGCAGCACTGGTTCCATTAACGGAAACGTCTGGAAATGAGTGGCAAGCATAAGTACAGTAATAATCTCTGGCGAGGATTCTTGCAAATGTACATTATACAAAATGATCAATGAGGCTAAAGAAGATAACAAATGACATCTGAAGCTGAGGAGAACGAGACCGCTGATCATTTAGCAGCTGCAGAGGCAACACACCGCCAGGGTGACCAAACTTCATAATGATCAAGTTAATCAATTTGCTCTAAATGTTATATTACATGCAAAATTCGCGAATATTACAAATATATGTTCATGATGTGTAAGAACGCACTTGTGAAGACAGGCAAGTTAAACCGGTTACATCACCTTCTCTCCCAGCCAGCCAGAGGGATGAGGGTGTAGGGATGTCAACATGCAGGAGTATACCAACCAGAGGGTGTAGAGGGGGCTAACATGGAGTGTACCAACCAGAGTGGTGAGGGTGTAGGGGGCTAACATGGAGTGTACCAGCCAGAGGGGTGAGGATGTAGGAGGCTAACATGGAGTGTACCAACCAGAGGGGTGAGGATGTAGGGATGTCAACATGCAGGAGTGTACCAGCCAGAGGGGTCAGAGGGTAGAAGGTGTAGGGGCATGTATGCAGGAAAGTGATCACGTGAAAATGAACTGACCTTTAAGGTAGCAAATAAAGCTGATGTTAGGGTGAAGCTGTACATCTTCGTGGATGATGCAGGAGCTATCAGGCGCACCGCCCACACTAAAGGCCACGCACCAGGGTTCTAAGATTGAAGAATGACGTCATGAATCAAGTTACACCCAATTTTCGATTGTATTTTAAAACAAGATCACGGCGTTAATGTAGTCCCTTGTGTACATGGTGTTGATGTAGGTCTTTGTGTACCTGGTGTTGATGTAGGTCCCTGTGTACCTGGTGTTGATGTAGGTCTTTGTGTACCTGGTGTTGATGTAGGTCCCTGTGTACATGGTGTTGATGTAGGTCTTTGTGTACCTGGTGTTGATGTAGGTCCCTGTGTACATGGTGTTGATGTAGGTCCTTGTGTACATGGTGTTGATGTAGGTCCTTGTGTACCTGGTGTTAATGTAGGTCCTTGTGTACATGGTGTTAATGTAGGTCCTTGTGTACCTGGTGTTGATGTAGGTCCTTGTGTACCTGGTGTTGATGTAGGTCCTTGTGTACATGGTGTTGATGTAGGTCCTTGTGTACCTGGTGTTGATGTAGGTCCTTGTGTACCTGGTGTTGATGTAGGTCCTTGTGTACATGGTGTTAATGTAGGTCCTTGTGTACATGGTGTTGATGTAGGTCCTTGTGTACATGGTGTTAATGTAGGTCCTTGTGTACCTGGTGTCAATGTAGGTCCTTGTGTACATGGTGTTAATGTAGGTCCTTGTGTACATGGTGTCAATGTAGGTCCTTGTGTACATGGTGTTAATGTAGGTCCTTGTGTACATGGTGTTAATGTAGGTCCTTGTGTACATGGTGTTGAGGTAGGTCCTTGTGTACATGGTGTTAATGTAGGTCCTTGTGTACATGGTGTTAATGTAGGTCCTTGTGTACCTGGTGTTGATGTAGGTCCTTGTGTACCTGGTGTTGATGTAGGTCCTTGTGTACCTGGTGTTAATGTAGGTCCTTGTGTACATGGTGTTAATGTAGGTCCTTGTGTACCTGGTGTTGATGTAGGTCCTTGTGTACATGGTGTTGATGTAGGTCCTTGTGTACATGGTGTTAATGTAGGTCCTTGTGTACATGGTGTTAATGTAGGTCCTTGTGTACAATAGTGGGAAACGACGCGTACACCGACCGTTTTGCTCTTTTCAAGGGTCGGTCTGCGTCGTGTGTTTTTCGTTACAATTGGTGACAGTCGGTCTAAGAACATAAGAACAAAGGTAACTGCAGAAGGCCTATTAGCCCATACGAGGCAGCTCCAATTTATAACCACCCAATCCCACTCATATACTTGTCCAACCCGCGCTTGAAACAATCGAGGGACCCCACCACCACGTTACGTGGCAATTGGTTCCACAAATCAACAACCCTGTTACTGAACCAGTATTTACCCAAGTCTTTCCTAAATCTAAACTTATCCAATTTATACCCATTGTTTCGTGTTCTGTCTCATTCCCTAAAGAAATCAGATTTAGCATAGAATGGAATAGATCTGTAGGAGAAAATGATATTAAAGTACCTGATTTTCGAAAAGCTAATTTCAATAACCTAAGAAATTTATTGGGTCAAATAGATTGGAAAGTCTTGGGTATGGGGTGTGGGACGGACTTGGAGCGAGACATGAACCCAGCGACAGGTGACGGAAAAGGGGTTTTCGATGTGGATTCAAAATATAACCTATTTAAAAATATTCTAAGCGAAGCCCAGGAATGTAGTATACCATATAAATTGAATAGATCGATTGCAAATGATCCAAAGTGGATAACAAAGGATCTGAAGAACCTTATCAAAACTGAGGGAATCAAAACTGAGCCACACACAGAAACTATTTGGATAGAATTAAACGAAAAAGCAAATAATATCATAATAGGAATTATATATAGGCCACCAAATTTAGACAGAATGGAAGCAAAGCATCTATGGGATGAAATATCTAGAGCATCTAGATCTAACAGTATTTATGTCATGGGTGACTTTAATTTTAGTGGAATAAACTGGGTGAACAAAACAGGGAATAATGAAGCAGAAGATTTTCTAGAATTAATTGACGATTGCTTTCTTACGCAACACATTAAGGAACCAACGCGGGAAAATAATATTTTAGATTTAGTGTTAACTAACAGGGAAACACAAATTAATGACATCGAAATAGGGAGTGAGCTAGGGAACAGTGATCACAAAGTAATCAGATTTAGCATAGAATGGAATAGACCTGTAGGAGAAAATTCTGTTAAAGTGCCAGATTTTCGAAAAGCTGATTTTAATAGCCTAAGAAATTTTTTGGGTCAAATTGATTGGAAAGTCTTGGGTATGGGGTGTGGGCCGGTCTTGGAGCGAGACATGAACCCAGCGATAGGTGACGTAAAAGGGGATTTTGATGTGGATTTAATATATAACTTATTTAAGAATATTCTAAACAAAGCGCAGGAACGTAGTATACCATACAAATTGAATAGATCGAATACTAATGACCCAAAGTGGATAACAAATAATTTAAAGAACCTTATAAGTAAAAAGAGAGCTTGGTACAAAAGGATTAAGAATGGGGAAGTCAGTTTAGAACAGGAATTCATACAACTAGTTAGAAATGTTAAAAAAGAGATTAGGAAAGCAAAAAGAAACTATGAAGTTCACATAGCAGAGCAAGCAAAGTCAAATCCTAAAGGGGTTTTTCAGTTATATCGAACTAAGACTAGGGAAAGGATAGGTCCATTAAAATCTGAGACAGGTCAAATAACGGATAATGACAAGGAGATGAGTAGTATTTTTAACAAATATTTTATATCTGTATTTACTAAAGGTCGAGGACCGGGCCGCGGGGACGCTAAAGCCCCGAAATCATCTCAAGATAACCTCATGATAGCCTTTTACGGGGTACTGTGTCAAAGGCCTTCCGACAGTCCAAAAAAATGCGGTCCGCCCATCCTTCTCTTTCTTGCTTAATCTTTATTATCTGATCGTAGAATTCTATTAAGCCTGTAAGGCAAGTTTTACCCTCCTTTAAACCTTGTTGCCTCTTGTCTGTCAACCTTTTTGTATATTGGGACCACATTAGCCGTCTTCCATATTTCTGGTAGGTTTCCAGTCTCTAGTGATCTACTATACACTATGGAGAGGGGCAAGCAAAGTGCTCCTGCTCACTCTTTCAACACCCATGGTGAGATTCCATCCAGGCTAACAGCCTTTCTCACGTCCAGATTCAACAGATGCCTCTTGACCTCATCTCTTATAATTTCGAACCCTTCCAATGTCGTCTGGTTTACTGCCACCTCACCTAACGCAGTGACCTCTGCTTGTTCTATTGTGAAGACCTCCTGGATTCTCTTGTTGAGTTCTTCACACACCTCTTTGTCACTCTGTGTACCTGTCCTCACCCATTTTAAGTTTCATCACCTGTTTCTTCACTGTTGTTCTCCTCCTGATGTGACTGTGGAGTAGCTTTGGTTCGGTCTTGACTTTATTAGCTATATCATTTTCATACTTTTTCTCAGGTTCTCTTCTCACACTAATATACTCGTTCCTGGTTCTCTGATATCTCTCTCTGCTTTCTGGTGTTCTGTTATTTCGGAAGTTCCTCCACGCCCATTAGTTCAGTTCCTTTGCTTTCATACATTCCCTATTAAACCATGGATTCTTCTTTTGCGTCTCGGTTTTTTCCTGTCGGGCCGGGATAAACCTGTTTACTGCCTCCTGACACTTTTGGGTGACAAAGTCCATCATGTCTTGTACGGACTTAGTTCTGAGTTCTGTGTCCCATGGTATATCCCTCAGAAATTTTCTCATCTCATAATTTCCCTTTCGGTACGCCAGCCCTTTGTTTCCCAGTTCTTTTTGGGGGGAGAAAATTCCTAACTCTACCAGGTACTCAAAGTTCAATACACTGTGATCGCTCATTCCCAAGGGCGCTTCCAACTTAACTTCCCTTATATCCCACTCATTTAGGGTAAATATCAGATCAAGCAAGGCTGGTTCATCCTCTCCTCTCATTCTTGTTGGTCCCTTGATGTGTTGGCTTAGAAAGTTTCTTGTTACCACGTCCAGCAGCTTAGCTCTCCATGTGTCTGGTCCTCCATGTGGGTCTCTGCTCTCCCAATCTATCTTCCCGTGGTTGAAGTCTCCCATAATTAGTAGTCCGGATCTGTTCCTGCTAGCTACAGACGCTGCTCTCTCTATTATATTGATGGTGGCCATATATGTGTGTGTGTGTGCTCACCTAGTTGTGTTTGCGGGGGTTGAGCTCTGGCTCTTTGGTCCCGCCTCTCAACTGTCAATCAACAGGTGTACAGATTCCTGAGCCTATTGGGCTCTATCATATCTACACTTGAAACTATGTATGGAGTCAGCCTCCACCACATCACTTCCTAATGCATTCCATTTGTCAACCACTCTGACACTAAAAAAGTTCTTTCTAATATCTCTGTGGCTCATTTGGGCCCTCAGTTTCCACCTGTGTCCCCTTGTGTGTGTGCCCCTTGTGTTAAATAGCCTGTCTTTATCTACCCTATCAATTCCCTTGAGAATCTTAAATGTGGTGATCATGTCCCCCCCCCCTAATTCTTCTGTGTTCCAGCGAAGTGAGGTTTAATTCCCGTAGTCTCTCCTCGTAGCTCATACCTCTCAGCTCGGGTACTAGTCTGGTGGCAAACCTTTGAACCTTTTCCAGTTTAGTGCTATCCTTCACTATATATGGACTCCATGCTGGGGCTGCATACTCCAGGATTGGCCTGACATATGTGGTATACAAAGTTCTGAATGATTCTTTACACAAGTTTCTGAATGCCGTTCGTATGTTGGCCAGCCTGGCATATGCCGCTGATGTTATCCTCTTGATATGTGCTGCAGGAGATTAGGTCTTCTTGAAGCCTCAAACAGTCCTCTTCTGTCTTAATCCTTCTCATAATTTTGGCATCGTCCGCAAACATTGAGAGAAATGAATCTATACCCTCTGGGAGATCATTTACATATATCAGAAACAAGATAGGACCGAGTACAGAGCCCTGTGGGACTCCACTGGTGACTTCACGCCACTCGGAGGTCTCACCCCTCACCGTAACTCTCTGCTTCATATTGCTTAGGTACTCCCTTATCCACTGGAGCACCTTACCAGCTACACCTGCCTGTCTCTCCAGCTTAGGTACCAGCCTCTTATGTGGTACTGTGTCAAAGGCTTTCCGACAATCCAAGAAAATGCAGTCCGCCTAGCCCTCTCTTTCTTACTTAATTTCTGTCACCTGGTCATAGAATTCTATTAAGCCAGTCCGGCAAGATTTACCCTCCCTGAACCCATGTTGACGATTTGTCACGAAGTCCCTTCTCTCCAGATGTGTTACCAGGTTTTTTCTCGGGATCTTCTCCATCACCTTGCATGGTATACAAGTCAAGGACACTGGCCTGTAGTTCAGTGCCTCTTGCCTGTCGCCCTTTTTGTATATTGGGACCACATTCGCCGTCTTCCATATTTCTTGTAGGTCTCCCGTCTCCAGTGACTTAGTATACACTATGGAGAGTGGCAAGCAAAGTGCCTCTGCAGACTCTTTCAGTACCCATGGTGAGATCCCGTCTGGACCAACAGCCTTTCTGACATCCAGATCCAGCAGGTGTCTCTTGACCTCCTCTCTCGTAATTTCGAACTCTTCCAAGGCCGCCTGGTTTACCTCCTATTCTCCTAGCACAGTGACCTCACCTTGTTCTATTGTGAAGACCTCCTGGAACCTCTTGTTGAGTTCTTCACACACCTCTTTGTCATTCTCTGTATACCTGTCCTCGCCTGTTCTAAGTTTCAATTCCTGTTCTTTCACTGTTGTTTTCCTTCTGATGTGATTGTGGAGTATCTTTGGTTCGGTCTTGGCTTTGTTTGCTATAAAATTTTCAAAACTTTTCTCTGCTTCTCTTCTCACCCTGACGTACTCATTCCTGGTTCTCTGGTATCTCTCTCTGCTTTCTGGTGTTCTGTTATTCCGGAAGTTCCTCCACGCCCTTTTGTTCAGTTTCTTCGCTTCCATACATGCCCTATTATACCATGGATTCTTCTGTTGCTTCTCGGATTTTCCCTTTGGGCCGGGATGAACCTGTTTACTGTCTCCTGACACTTTTGGGTAACATAGTCCATCAAATCTTGTACAGCCCTATCTCTGAGGTCTGTGTCCCAAGGTATTTCCCTTAGGAAACTTCTCATCTGTTCACAATTCACCTTTCGGTATGCCAGCCTTTTGATTCCTAGTTCTTTTTTGGGGGAGATAATTTCTAGCTCTACCAGGTACTCAAAGTTCAATACACTGTGATCACTCATTCCTAAGGGCGCTTCCATCTTAACTTCCCTTATATCCCACTCATTTAGGGTAAATATCAAATCAAGCATTGCTGGTTCATCTTCTCCTCTCATTCTTGTTGGTTCCTTGATGTGCTGGCTTAGAAAGTATTTTGTTGCCACGTCCAGCAGCTTAGTTCTCCATGTTTCTGGTCCTCTATGCGGGTCTCTATTCTCTCAATCTATCTTCCCATGGTTAAAGTCTCCCATAATTAGTAGTCCAGATCCGTTCCTGCTAGCAACAGAAGCTGTTCTTTCTATTATGTTATTGGTGGCCATGTTGTTTCTATCATATTCCTGTCTGGGTCTTCTGTCATTTGGTGGTGGATTATATATGACTACGACTTTAATTTTTTGCCCTCCAGTTGTTATTGTACCTGTTATGTAGTCACTGAAACCCTCACATCCCTGAACAGCCATCTCCTCAAAATCCCAGTCTTTTCTTACCAGCAGGGCTACACCACCACCACCTCTTCCTTCTCTCTCTTTGCTCATAACATAATAGTCCTGTGGGAACACTGCATTTGTTATGGTTTTCGTTAGCTTTGTTTCTGTGAGAGCTATTATGTCTGGGTCTTCCTCTAGTACCCATTCTCCAAGTTCATTTGCTTTATTTGTTATTCCATCTATGTTAGTGTACATTGCCTTGAGGCTCACTTTCTTCTGTCCCTTCTCAAATCTCCTCCTTGGTGAGTGTTCTGCTGGTGGGGGAAGCTGTTCCATGGGTGTGAGGATTTGTGAGGTGGATAACAGGGTTGCAGAGGATACTGGGATGAGGGGTGGGGGTCAAGTGAAGGGGAAGGGTATGGGGTGAAAGGGGAGGGAGGACTGGAAAGAAAGGGGGGGGGGAGGGGGACTCAGCAGGAGGAGGGGAGGGGTAGAAGGGTGGGGATTGGGTGTGGGGGGAGGGAGATTTGGCTGGGTATTTGAGTGGGGGCAGGGAGGGTTTGGAGTAGAGGGGGTTTTCTATGCAGAGGAGGGTGGTGGGGTTGCCTTCCCTGCTGGTGTTACTGGGTAGCTGGTTGTGGGTTCCCCCTTCGCCTCTGGGGGTGATGTGTTGGGAGCTGTGATTTCCTGGTTTTCCCCTCTCGCCCTGCGCTTCTTCCTTGCTTCTGCCGCCAAGGCCCTCTCCTCCCTCGTCATGTCCCTCTGGAAGAATACTTTTTAGAATTCTCCCATATGTTGCAGGAGACTTTTCTTTGTCAGAATCATCTCCTTTGTGTTCTCGTTTGCAAACACTATCTTTAACACACGATCTCAGTCTTTTTTGTACCAGCCTAGCCTGAAAACCTTCTCAATGCTATGCTCAGGCCCTTCCATGTCTAGTGTCTTCAGTATTTCATTCACTGCCACTTTGTCCTTATCATTCCACTCTTTCCTATTAGAGCCTTCCTGCTCTTTAATACCCACAGCTACCACTGATCTTTTCCTTTCCAACAGCTGGCTAGTGGAGCGTGCCGCTTCCTGTGAGGTGGCTGCTTTCATGGCTACCTTCATCACTGCAGACATTACTTCAGAGTTTTTATTTTTAGCATTTCTGCAAATGTTGCTTTTATTGTGGCATTCTCTCCCAAAATACTATTACCATCTTCTCCCTAGGTGGTTATCTGAGTCTCAGCATCGGTACTGTTCTCTTTGAGGGCTCTAATCTCCTCCTTTGCTGCTGTCAGCTCTCTTTTTAGGTTGCTTATTTCATTCTTCATTTCCTGCATCTCACTCTTGATGTCCTCCAGAAACTAGGCAAACATTTCCTTCATTTCATCACCTGGACTTTTCCCTGTTACCTCTGGCTGTCATGTTTGACCTTGTTCCTAGTTGTGCCGTGATAGGATTTGTCAGAAGGGCAGAGCGGGGTGGGGGGGAGAGAGAGAGAGAGAGAGAGAGAGAGAGAGAGAGAGAGAGAGAGAGAGAGAGAGAGAGAGAGAGAGAGAGAGAGAGAGAGAGAGAGAGAGAGAGAGAGAGAGAGAGTGTGTGTGTGTGTGTGTGTGTGTGTGTGTGTGTGTGTAGTCACCTAGTTGTGCTTGCGGGGTTCGAGCTCTGCTCTTTCGGCCCGCCTCTCAACCGTCAATCAACTGTTTTCTACTACTATTTTTTTTCCACACCACACACACACACACACACACACACCAGGAAGCAGCCCGTGACAGCTGACTAACTCCCAGGTACCTATTTACTGCTAGGTAACAGGGGCATAGGGTGAAAGAAACTCTGCCCATTGTTTCTCGCCAGCGCTCAGGATCGAACCCGGGATCACATAATCACGTGTCCAGCGTGCTGTCCGCTTGGCCACCGGCTCCCATCCGTGTGTGTGTTTGTGTGTGTGTGTCTGTGTGTGTGTGTGTGCGTGCGTGCATGCGTGCGTGCGTGCAGGAGAGCACTGTATAACCTCCATAGAGACCGGAGCTGCCGCAGATGAAGAATACCTCTAGAACAAGTAATGGCACACAAGAGGTCGGAAGTATGTAGGAAGGTGGTGTTGTCTGTGCCACACACTCCTGGGCCCGCCTCCAGGTACTGGTCCACAGTCAGCACACACTGGGCCAGCCCCCACACTGCCCACACTGCCCCGATCATTGACATGTGTCTGCAAAAAAAAATTACTAGTTAAGAAGAGGGAGACACAAGGTGCTGTTGATTATTGTTCATTCTCCCTGTTACACCAGTGTTTTGTGTGACATTGTGTTGGAATTGAGCTGTGATGTTTACCATACCGTTCATTTCGTAAGTATAAGTATAGATGCCACACCTGTGACAGGTAAAACTATGCTTTTCTTGACAAACAGCGCCATCTGTTGCATGTGGGAGCAACACACATGCTATACTAAATATGTTACAATTCCATTTCATTGTTTCTGATTGCATTGATAAATTGAATTTTCATAGATTTTGATTTATTTTCATTTTGATTTAACTGTTTTGTGTGAATTGCATTGGAATTAAGCTGTGTTGTTTAGCATACCGGTCATTTCGTGAGTATAGTTTTTTTTCATATTTTCATTTCATTTTTTAACTGTTTTTCTTATATTTCAGTGATGGAAACATCAGATCACTTGATGTTCCCGATTTTCTGATGAGAACATCAGACCGTTTGGGAAGGCATCGGACGAGGGAGTGGGGAATGGTGGGGATGACGAGGGGACGTAAGTGAGAGATGGTGGGGAGGCGAGATGTTTTCTTGAATATCTGTATATGTCAAATGTTGTAAAATAAAGCTTGATGTTTTTTACTGAATAAGATTTATTTAACCTTAATAGAATAAGTGGCTTACTACTTTGGGGACTATAACAAATATGTTTTACTTTGGTATATTCTTAAAGTTGATTGTCACTCAATAAAGACACGTCTAAGTAAGTTTATTACAAACTACAGTTTAAAATTACATGAAAAGTTACACTTGACTATTGAAGGTGCATTTTTAATTAAGCTGAGTTATGAAAAGATTGCCTTAAGATGTCTATTGGAAGTAATGACATAGTGCATTGGTAAGTATCTTTTAAATGCACGAAGCTGTCTTAGAAAGTTTCATTTGATGAGCGAAGATGAGATAGAGATTAACTTTGATGTCTCTGAAAGCATATTTGACGGATCTGAGAATATCTTTCTCATATAAAGAGGACATTTGAGAGTGTCTTTATAATGCAAGAAAATGTCTTGGAAAGTTTCCTGTTAAGATACTTTGTGAAGAAAGCTACATACAATTATAATGTTACTTACTAACTGTATGAAAGAGTATTGTTAGTTGATAAATAATGCAAAAATTATGCTTTTAAATTATTCGAGTGTAACCTTAGATAACATATGAAAAGAAAGACTTAGTACAATTAATACAGCAAAAAAGGGTAGCTTTGTTAAAGAACTGAGACAGTAAGAATTCTTAAGTTGATAAAGAGAATTACATTGACATAGTTTTGAAATAAATAAATAAAGTCAATAAGTGATTAAATAAATACTTTGTTGTAACTTGTTGAGAAATAGTAATGCTCCTGTTAATAATACATAACAATGAACTACTTATTAAATGTCAGAAACAACTGGTTTAAAGAATCAGTAACAAGATGAACGGGGAATATGTATAAGAATGTGAGGAACCTAGACAACACATAAGAACAGGTAGAGGAGGGATAGGAGAAAAATTGTAAGAAAGGGTAGCGAGATGAGAGGAGAACATGTGGGGACATGTAAAGGTTTGTTTGGGTGAGATTGTAAGCAGCAGTAACAAGATGCGCTGAGAACATGCTGGGACATGTAAAGAGTTGATGGGTCTTGTAAGAAAGGGTGGCGAGATGAGCGGAGAACACGTTAGGGCATGTGAAGGAGGGAAGGAGGAGTTGTGTATTTACATTTGATAAGATGCAAGGTAATAGTTGTTTAAGTCTCATGTAGCATGCATAGAACTAGAGAACATTGAAGAGAATGCAAAGAACATTAAGAAACAGGTGAAAATATGAATTGAACTTGCAGAGAACATGAATAATGAGAATAAAAGTTGTACAAAGAATATGCGGTGAACATGTGGAGATTACACAAATATGGTAAGATTATTGGATAATAGCTGTATTTTTTTATATTCTGGGGAGGGAGGTGGGGAAGAGGTGAGGGAAAGGGACGATATGAGGGTGAGGGGGGGGAAAGCTGGGGGGTAAGAGGGAGATAAGTGAGCGGACGAGCGTGGGGGGGGGGGCATGGGGGGTAGGGAGAGAGATAAGTATTTATACAGGTGAGGTTAGACTTGTTTTTACTTTGATAACGTAAGGTAAGGGATGAGAGCTACTAACTCACTCTGGAGTTACTTACTTGTTCTGGAATAAGTAAGTTTGATGAACATTGAACTAAGGCAGAGGACATGAGTTAGAGCTACGTGAGTGTTTTTGGTTAATTTTACTATGTACAAATTGCAAATGATTTTAAATCTTAGGGGAATTGGACTGATAGTAGCAAAGCTATACGACCGAAGTAAGGCGGGGGACAGGAGCTGGAGTTCGTCAACTGCTTTGATCTTACTTACTACATCTGAAATAGCTGCATTTTAAATCTCGAGGAAATTTATCATTTAATAGCATAGTTACATGAATAAAGTAAGGCGGGGACAAGAGCTAGAACTCGTTAACTCTATTTTCTTTTCTTATTACGTTTGAAATAACTATGTTTTAATTTTCGATAAAATTTATCAGTTAATAGCATAGTTACAAGAGAAAAGTAAGGGGGAGACAAGAGCTAGAATGAGTTAACCTAATTTACTTTTGTTACTACGTTTGAAATAACTATATTTTAAATTTCAGGGAAATTGATCAGTTAATACTGAAACTACACTCGGGTCCAAGAGCTAATATCTGATAAACTTTTTAACATCGGCTCAAGTTGGTTGAGTTTAATTATATCCATAAGAACACTTTTAAGACTGCAGTAAGGATTAAAACTGTGACTAATTTCGTTCTTAAAATGAACTCTGTCAACTTTAGGTCTTAAACTGGTCTCTGACAAATTTCAGTCTTTAGCTCTTAAATAAACTTGTATGATTATATGAACTTTGAAACATTTTTATAAACTGAACTCTAAAAAAATTTAATTTCACCTATAAGAATTCTTTAGGTCTGCAGCGGTAATTTTTGAGAGTTCGCTAAATACGGTGGTCTGCAGCAGTGATTTTCCAAAAACGAAAAATCACTGCTAAGATGTCTATTTTCCAGGGCATAAAACGAGAAATCACAGCTAAGCTGCCATCTCTACTACTGGGTGGTGGGTGGGCGTCTAATTTTCATGTAATGCTATAAATGGTTGAATTTAATATTTCACTAAAACAAAGAGTCAATTCACACAAGACGTTGGCTGCGCCAGGCTGGCGGTCCTTATACCATTGCGAAAGTCACCCGCTTCAGAACACCACCAGAACAGACGCATCCGCTACGTCATCTGCATTGTAAACAGTAAATGGATTACTATAATGTTTTCTGGGAGAAACAGCTTCCCCTGTTTGGACACTGCCAGGTTCTTCCTCAACTGTACTTATATCATCACAGTCTTTTGTTTCCAAGCAAGCAAACCTCTTGCTGGTATTATCTATACGACCACCTCCAGATCTACCAATTTTCTCAGCTTTCATGACCTCCACTGAAGGCACAGATGCAGGTGCAGCAGCAATCACTGAAGGCACAGATGCAGGTGCAGCAACCACTGAAGGCACAGATGCAGGTGCAGCAACCACTGAAGGCACAGATGCAGGTGCAGCAACCACTGAAGGCACAGATGCAGGTGCAGCAACCACTGAAGGCACAGATGCAGGTGCAGCAACCACTGAAGGCACAGATGCAGGTGCAGCAACCACTGAAGGCACAGATGCAGGTGCAGCTGCAACCACTGAAGGCACAGATGCAGGTGCAGCTGCAACCACTGAAGGCACAGATGCAGGTGCAACCACTGAAGGCACAGATGCAGGTGCAGCAACCACTGAAGGCACAGATGCAGGTGCAGCTGCAACCACTGAAGGCACAGATGCAGGTGCAACCACTGAAGGCACAGATGCAGGTGCAACCACTGAAGGCACAGATGCAGGTGCAGCTGCAACAACTGAAGGCACAGATGCAGGTGCAGCTGCAACCACTGAAGGCACAGATGCAGGTGCAGCTGCAACCACTGAAGGCACAGATGCAGGTGCAGCTGCAACAACTGAAGGCACAGATGCAGGTGCAGCTGCAACCACTGAAGGCACAGATGCAGGTGCAGCTGCAACCACTGAAGGCACAGATGCAGCTGCAGACTTGTCTGCACTAGCACCACCAACCACTGGGGATTTAACTACAGCTGTACAAGTCCTAGCTGGTAGAACAAGGGCTCTGTTCTCATGTCCTCCTCTACTATATCACAGAGGAGGACATACGCGCTCTAACAATTACTTCCTTTGTTGGTTTTTAAAATACAGACAATTCTTTGAAAATGTATTATGCAATTTACCACTAGTATGACAATTACATTGTCAGTCACCATCATGAACTTCAGCTCCATACTTAAGCATTTAGGAGGTTCTCTACTTGAGCATCTCGTTTCAGTGTGTCCATATCGAATACACTTTCTACACTGCATTGGCTTTGGCTGTCTTTCTCTTATGGAGAACTTTTTTTTTCTATTTTAATATTAGGTGGCAAGATCTGTTGTGCAAAAACAACTTTAGCTATTTTCATAGGCCTGCCAGTCTTTCTGTTTGCTCCTTCATAAATGTACACAGATGATACATTTTGTTTCTGATCTTTGAAGATGTCTTTATTAGTTTCACATCTGAAATCTACACTAATCATTGTAAATCCTGAGTCTGTCCAGTAACATGGTCCCAATCCTTGGATTACATTGATCTACGTCAGTTGCATTTACATTTTGACGTCCAAGTTTTCTTGCTCCAAGTAAGAACTTTGTTCTGCATTTGAAGATTTAAGAATGATTTTACTTCTTCCCCCAGAAAATCGAGGCTCCTCTGTAGATAGGATAGATTTCAATGATTTGTAGATGGCTACGTCCTTTGGGGTTGATCATCATTATTCACAGTAAAGGTTATATATTTTGACAATTCTTGAGATCCTGAATGATCATGATTGTTCGCTTCTTTGATGCCTCGTGGCGGAGTAGTTCCCATCCACTTGAGGGAATTAAGGCTTTGCTTTCTTTGTTTAAGGAGGTGCTTTCTGCATTAAATAAAAAGAAATAACATTTCGTCCAAGAAGCCTCATTACCACCATGGAGCCACAATTATAGGAATGGGAATTCCTCAATATAGGGCTGCCCCAAGGCTGTCAGGGCTGACCCTGGGGTGCTTCCTGGATATACCCCCTGCACTTATTACCTATTACCCACAGAAGAGATAAAGGAGCATGGCGTTGGCTTTGCCATCAGGAACAGGTTGTTAGGGTCCATAGTACCGCCCACGGAGGGGTCTTCAAAAACACAACTTAGGTGGGAGAAATGAACATGTGGGAGAAATTAAATACACACTGTCCGCTCAATTAAACATACAGTCCACTAAGCTATCGAAAGAAATAATAAATTATACACAATAATTAAAATTACATAAAATAAATCAATTAATTAGAATTAAAATTAATTAAATAATATCCCAAGAATCAGAATGCCCCACAGATATGATGTAGCCCAACAGGCTCAGGAATCTGTATGTGTGTTGATTGATGATTGAGAGGCGGGACCAAAGAGCAATCACAATTAGGAGAGTACATCTAACAGGACAAACTGTACCTTGGAAGCGGGTGGTTCAGAGGCAGAGAGGACTCATGCGCCAGTAGGAGCCGTGCTGCAGCTGACGTGGGCGTCCACGACCTTCTGGGGCTGGTGGGAGGCCAGAGATGTGAGAGAAGAAATTAGGCTGCGGAGACCAAGACAGGCGTCCCGGGACAACAGTGGGACGTAGCGTGACGCAGCTTCTTGGAGCATGTGGACTGGAGCGTGGGGTCCAGTATGGTGTACTGAGGGGAGCGTACATCGAGGCTGTGCTTAAGTAGGCGTCTGGGAGGGCGTGGAAGTCACCTCACACGCCAGGAAATGTTGAAGGAACTTTCTGCTGCTCGTTTCGGAAATTGACGCGTCCTGGCGCTAATATGTCTTGGGGTTTAATTATTTATCTTGTGTTCTGATAAGATGATATGCTTATATCTGACCTGAGTGAGCGTGATTTTATGTCCATATGTTGACTATTTCCATGTTCTAGCACTTTAAATGCAAAGGAGAGTGTGGGAGCTCATTGATACAAATTGATTTGTTATCTATAACATATCTGTCTGTAACTACACTTCCTACAAACACAAGTCAAAGGTGTTTCTGTCCTTGGGGATTTCTTCGAGTCATTTAGCAGTACGTAATGCAAATTAATTCCCAGGAGTCCAACAACACTACCAACAGCCAACAGGGTACAGGAGTACACCTACACTACCAACAGAGTACAACAAGGTACAGGAGTACACCTACACTACCAACAGAGTACAACAGTACACCTACACTACCAACAGAGTACAGGAGTACACCTACACTACCAACAGAGTACAACAAGGTACAGGAGTACACCTACACTACCAACAGAGTACAACAGTACACCTACACTACCAACAGAGTACAGGAGTACACCTACACTACCAACAGAGTACAGGAGTACACCTATACTACCAACACAGTACAACAGTACACCTACACTACCAACACAGTACAACAGTACACCTATACTACCAACAAAGTTCAACAGTACACCTACACTACCAACAGAGTACAACAGTACACCTACACTACCAACAAAGTACAACAGTACACCTACACTACCAACACAGTACAACAGTACACCTACACTACCAACAGAGTACAACAGTACACCTACACTACCAACAAAGTACAACAGTACACCTACACTACCAACAGAGTACAACAGTACACCTATACTACCAACAGAGTACAACAGTGCACCTACACTACCAACACAGTACAACAGTACACCTACACTACCAACAGAGTACAACAGTACACCTACACTACCAACACAGTACAACAGTACACCTATACTACCAACACAGTACAACAGTACACCTATACTACCAACAGAGTACAACAGTACACCTATACTACCAACAGAGTACAACAGTACACCTACACTACCAACAGAGTACAACAGTACACCTACACTACCAACAGAGTACAACAGTACACCTATACTACCAACAAAGTACAACAGTACACCTACACTACCAACAGAGTACAACAGTACACCTATACTACCAACAGAGTACAACAGTACACCTACACTACCAACAGAGTACAACAGTACACCTACACTACCAACAGAGTACAGGAGTACACCTACACTACCAACAGAGTACAACAGTACACCTACACTACCAACAGAGTTCAGGAGTACACCTACACTACCAACAGAGTACAACAGTACACCTACACTACCAACAGAGTACAACAGTACACCTACACTACCAACAGAGTACAACAGTACACCTACACTACCAACAGAGTACAACAGTACACCTACACTACCAACAGAGTACAACAGTACACCTACACTACCAACACAGTACAACAGTACACCTATACTACCAACAGAACAACAGTACAACTACCAACACAGTACACAGTACACCTACACTACCAACAGAGTACAGGAGTACACCTATACTACCAACAGAGTACAACAGTACACCTACACTACCAACAGAGTACAACAGTACACCTATACTACCAACACAGTACAACAGTACACCTACACTACCAACACAGTACAACAGTACACCTACACTACCAACAGAGTACAGGAGTACACCTACACTACCAACAGAGTACAACAGTACACCTACACTACCAACAGAGTACAACAGTACACCTATACTACCAACACAGTACAACAGTACACCTACACTACCAACAGAGTACAACAGTACACCTACACTACCAACACAGTACAACAGTACACCTACACTACCAACAGAGTACAACAGTACACCTACACTACCAACAGAGTACAACAGTACACCTACACTACCAACACAGTACAACAGTACACCTACACTACCAACAGAGTACAACAGTACACCTACACTACCAACACAGTACAACAGTACACCTACACTACCAACACAGTACAACAGTACACCTACACTACCAACAGAGTACAACAGTACACCTACACTACCAACAGAGTACAACAGTACACCTACACTACCAACAGAGTACAACAGTACACCTACACTACCAACAGAGTACAACAGTACACCTACACTACCAACAGAGTACAGGAGTACACCTATACTACCAACAGAGTACAACAGTACACCTACACTACCAACAGAGTACAACAGTACACCTATACTACCAACAGAGTACAACAGTACACCTACACTACCAACAGAGTACAACAGTACACCTACACTACCAACAGAGTACAACAGTACACCTATACTACCAACAGAGTACAACAGTACACCTATACTACCAACACAGTACAACAGTACACCTACACTACCAACAGAGTACAGGAGTACACCTATACTACCAACAGAGTACAACAGTACACCTACACTACCAACAGAGTACAACAGTACACCTATACTACCAACACAGTACAACAGTACACCTACACTACCAACACAGTACAACAGTACACCTACTCTACCAACAGAGTACAGGAGTACACCTATACTACCAACAGAGTACAACAGTACACCTACACTACCAACAGAGTACAACAGTACACCTATACTACCAACACAGTACAACAGTACACCTACACTACCAACAGAGTACAGGAGTACACCTACACTACCAACAGAGTACAACAGTACACCTACACTACCAACAGAGTACAACAGTACACCTACACTACCAACAGAGTACAACAGTACACCTACACTACCAACAGAGTACAACAGTACACCTATACTACCAACAGAGTACAACAGTACACCTACACTACCAACAGAGTACAACAGTACACCTATACTACCAACAAAGTACAACAGTACACCTACACTACCAACAGAGTACAACAGTACACCTACACTACCAACAGAGTACAACAGTACACCTACACTACCAACAAAGTACAACAGTACACCTACACTACCAACAGAGTACAACAGTACACCTACACTACCAACAGAGTACAACAGTACACCTACACTACCAACAGAGTACAACAGTACACCTATACTACCAACAGAGTACAACAGTACACCTACACTACCAACAGAGTACAACAGTACACCTACACTACCAACAGAGTACAAGTACTTGCCAGATCAAAGGTGAACATAAAACCGCTACACATATGAGTATATATATTAAAAATGGGGGCAAGTCCAGGTACCTATTTGCTGATAGTAGGTGAAGAGAGGTATCAGGTGCTAGAAAACATGACACGACGACTGTTCAGGACCAGTTGTGGTACAGGAACTGCCTCTCCTGGGCCAATAGGCTCCCTGCAAGCCTGGTTATAGGAATGTTCTCGTGCACGACACGTATCCTTCTAGCGGAATTGATGGACAATATAATCATAGATTATATTGTCAAGATATTATAGTTTAATATTATAGTTAAATTATTCATAAAATTATGCTGAGTAGAAGTATTAGTAGTAGTGGAAGTAGTAGTAGAAGAAGTAGTAGTAGGTGGGTAGAAATCACTCTCGAAACCCATCCCAGGTATGCTCCAGGGCATATTGGCACTGATCTTCACGGATGACGGGGCACACAGCCAAGACCTTTAAAGCATGGACGCTTCATTCAGGCTGTCAGAGTATTTTATAAAATATGTAGAGAATTTTGTTAGCCAATATATTATGGGAGAAGAGGGGGTTGCTGGTCGTAAATTTATGGAGGCAATATATTAATTAGAAGCAATATTTGCCCAATACCCCACAAGGGCTTCAGGACCGTAAAATGTTGCCAGAGTAAATTATTCTGCATTATCTCTTAAATTAGATTGATTTCCTCATTTGGTTTTTCTTTACAAGATTTAATTTGATAAATTGACCTTAACTGCTCGCTATGTCTTCCACGTCCTCCTGACTATGTCTTCTACACCCTCCTGACTATGTCTTCCACACCCTCCTGACTATGTCTTCCACACCCTCCTGACTATGTCTTCCACACCCTCCTGACTATGTCTTCCACACCCTCCTGACTATGTCTTCCACACCCTCCTGACTATGTCTTCCACACCCTTTTGACTATGTCTTCCACACCCTCCTGACTATGTCTTCCACACCGTCCTGACTATGTCTTCCACACCCTCCTGACTATGTCTTCCACACCCTCCTGACTATGTCTTCCACACCCTCCTGACTATGTCTTCCACGTACACCGTCCTGACTATGTCTTCCACACCCTCCTGACTATGTCTTCCACACCCTTCTGACTATGTCTTCCACACCCTCCTGACTATGTCTTCCACGTCCTCCTGACTATGTCTTCCACACCCTCCTGACTATATCTTCCACACCCTCCTGACTATGTCTTCCCACACCCTCCTGACTATGTCTTCCACACCCTCCTGACTATGTCTTCCACACCCTCCTGACTATGTCTTCCACACCCTCCTGACTATATCTTCCACACCCTCCTGACTATGTCTTCCACACCCTTCTGACTATGTCTTCCACACCCTTCTGACTATGTCTTCCACACCCTCCTGACTATGTCTTCCACACCCTCCTGACTATGTCTTCCACACCCTTTTGACTATGTCTTCCACACCCTCCTGACTATGTCTTCCACACCCTCCTGACTATGTCTTCCACACCCTCCTGACTATGTCTTCCACACCCTCCTGACTATGTCTTCCACACCCTCCTGACTATGTCTTCCACACCCTCCTGACTATGTCTTCCACACCCTCCTGACTATGTCTTCCACACCCTCCTGACTATGTCTTCCACACCGTCCTGACTATGTCTTCCACACCCTCCTGACTATGTCTTCCACACCCTCCTGACTATGTCTTCCACACCCTCCTGACTATGTCTTCCACACCCTCCTGACTATGTCTTTCACACCTTCCTGACTATGTCTTCCACACCCTTCTGACTATGTCTTTCACACCTTCCTGACTATGTCTTCCACACCCTCCTGACTATGTCTTCCACACCCTCCTGACTATGTCTTCCACACCCTCCTGACTATGTCTTCCACACCCTTCTGACTATGTCTTCCACACCCTCTTGACTATGTCTTCCACACCCTCCTGACTATGTCTTCCACACCCTTCTGACTATGTCTTCCACACCCTCCTGACTATGTCTTCCACACCCTCCTGACTATGTCTTCCACACCCTTCTGACTATGTCTTCCACACCCTCCTGACTATGTCTTCCACACCCTCCTGACTATGTCTTCCACACCCTCCTGATACAGTACAGTACAGCAGTACTCCGTGGTACAGTACAGCACTTGATTATGTTGACCTGGAAAGCTATTATCAAGCAGCTGCAGGTAAATTTGAGCAAATCAGATGCCAAATAGCAATATATTTGGCTGAACTTGCCAACACCAATTTATCAGAAACAGAAATAGACATTATGGTTGATCTAGCGAGTTATGAAGATCACACTCAGGCCACGTTACAGCCTTTTTTCAGAATTGCCCAGAACAAGACAACAACAACAACAGTTTCATCTAATGCGAGTCAAGCAGAAGCTCGACTCCCTCCAATTAATTTACCCACTTTCTCAGGAAAAGATGAGGAAGATTGGGGCGAATTTTGGAACAAATTCGTAGACTTTGTGGACTCAAAACAATCTTTACCTAAGAGTAGTAAATTCTCTTATCTGCAATGCCAATTATCAGATGAAGCTAAAACAGTAGTATCCCATCTGAGATTAAGTAGCGACGGCTATGACCTGGCAGTACAACTCCTCAAGGATAATTATGCTGATCCAGAATTAAGAACTTTACATTTTGTACATAAGTTGTTGCATTTACGCTCACTTGAGGCTTCAGCTGATTCACTCGAAATCTTCAGGCTGGAGGTAGAATCAATGATCAAAGCCCTCAGCCTGACAGCCGATACTAACGGGGCTGAGTGGGTATTGAAAATAATTGTCCCAGGAGAAAATACCTAGGGACATGTTGAGACAAATGAGTGCTCATTACAATAAAAGTATCTTATCCATGAATGAAATATCTGAGGGTTTACGTTCAGTAATACATCAACTACAAACACATGACAAATTAAAAATACCAACCTTCAGAAACCAATAATAGTAAACCACAGAGTACCAAAGGTACTCCAGATCAATCTAGACAATATAATTCAACACCAAAGTGGAACAGTGGCAGAGTGGGCGTGTATGAAGTGGGACCCTCTAAGCCTATAGTTACTGTGTCACCCAAGACCGTGACACCAAAGGGTACTGGAAGCTATGGAACATGTTTGTTCTACCAAGAAAAACATTCAATGTGCTACTGTCCTAATTTTCCTGATTGTGACGCCCGTGTTGAGCGACTCAAAGAGTTGCAACATTGCACGAGGTGCCTCAGGAAACACAACATCATCGACTGTGAGACCTAATTACACACCTGTAATAGGTGTAGCAAGGGTCAGGACCATGCAGCATTGTGCGGAGACACCAGAACAAAGTCTCCAAACCCCAAGGTGGAAGATAGCATTCCCACCATATTACAGTACTGCAAGGTGCAACAAACAACTACTGTCCAATCGGCAGAGTCCAAAGGTAATACGACTTTGGCTACTGCTCACATTACCATCCAGAATAAGAGGCCCAAGGTCCATACCCGTGGGTTGTTTGACCAAGGGTCCCAGAGAACATGTCACTAAAAAGTTGGCAGATGAACTACAATTAAGGCCTATAACCCAGATGACAATCAATATCACAGGGTTTCTAACAGATACAGGACCTTTAGTCTACCAGGTGGTACAACCATCAGTACGTTTAGGCAGCTACGTCTGTCTGGGAGCTACTGCCAAATTCCTGAGAAATAGAGGAATAAACTTGGCAGATAATATTAAGTCTGATCACCTCACCGACTTCTTTATCCTTGTAGGTACAGACTACTACCATCGATTCATCGGTAGCCCTGCTAAATATCAGGGCATAACCATGCTAAATTCTGCAGGAGGTAAATTACACTCAGGCCCAGTATTAAGCCTGAGGAGACCTATGCCTATGATAAACAACACCAGTAGAAATCTAAATTTGTCAGCTGATTATATATCTCCAGTAGCATCATACTAAGGAGATTACAGCTGACTATAGCAACAGAGGTTGATCTTAATATCACCATTTAAAGCTGAAGATGAGTTCATGAGGCCTCAGTGGCAAATCAGTGAACAGTAGCCTAAACAGCTACAAGTCACTGCGACCAATGTTACTGAACCCACTGCAGTCTCAGAACCATACTTGACTTTAATGATTGACTATTCAATCATCTGAATCAACTAACTACATTAAACCCCAATTTGTCAGCCATATAAACTCCAGCAAACAAGCTTAAGGGAGCATGACTGACAATATAAATCCGACGACTGATTTTGATACATATATATATTTTTTTTTTTTTTGAGATATATACAAGAGTTGTTACATTCTTGTACAGCCACTAGTACGCGTAGCGTTTCGGCAGGTCCCTGGAATACGATCCCAGAATCGTTTTTTCATCCAAGTACACATTTTACTGTTGCGTTAAACAGAGGCTACAGTTAAGGAATTGCGCCCAGTAAATCCTCCCCGGCCAGGATACGAACCCATGACATAGCGCTAGCGGAACGAACGATATATTTAAACAAGATGAATGGGCCTCAGTGTATATATATCAGTGACCAGTTACCTGGAACAAGCTTCAAGTAATTATAACTAATGTCGCTATTCTCACTGCTGTCCCTGAATCATACTTGACTGTAGTACTTGTTCACGTTCAGTCGTCTGGGTTAAATAATATGTAATTACGCTAGAATTTTAGCCTCTCAAGAGTTAACAGGGAAATGAAATCGCATTAGACTTCTAACCCCTGCAACTCGAGTACGGGACATCCATCCTGTACAAACTAACGTACAAATGTGTGATTACTAACTATTAACATCAAATTAATCTAATAATTAGAAGGAGTATCGGTGTTCATCTGTTTTAAATAGGACTGCGACCCATGAGCAGCCCCCAAGAAATTATGTCTGAAAACCCAACACCATTTACTAATATTAAATACAATATGCAGATAATATTGCTGCTGTTGTATATACATAAATTCACTCATAGAAGACGTGGCGCAGTGGAATTTTCCGTCGATAGAAAACGAGATATCATTGCCACATAGCGCTA